TGTTCTTTTGGTGTGAGGAAATGAAAGGTTAGTGAAAATGCTTGAAGTTTTTCGTGAAATGATTCGTATGCTTGAATGTCTGATAATGCTTCTGAAATAATGTGATCATGCTTTTTATCTAGTATGCTAAGTGTGAATAAGGAGGGTGTTTTAATGAAAAAATTTGTTGTTAATTGTGGATTTGCAAATTGATCGTCGTCAAGAAATTGATCTTGATTAGATCTGATGATGTTATGATCATAATATTCAAGTGAATAGTCGTTAGTTCGGGGTGCAGTGAATATTTTAAGTAACTTTTTATATTCTACGTATGTAAATTGTCGGGGCGTTAGTGACGTGGTTAGTTTAAATAATTCGCTCTTATTTCTCTCAATATTTTCTTGTGGTGTTAAGGAGTGGTGCCGTAAGGGGGTTAGTAAAATTGTAATAAGCTGTCCAATGAAGTGTGGGTATTAACACATGTTCATCTACAAAGTGATGTGGTTCAGGGTTAGGGTCGGATTGATTTAATGTATATTGGGGAAATAAAGGTAGGGTTATTTGAAGATAATTTGTAGTATTGGTGTGGTCTGGATGGTTAACATATTCTGGATGGGAACAGTTGATTTGGGAATTTTCGTTTAAAGGTTCTATAAGCTCGGTTAGTACTAGTGGATGTTTCTGTTGATGTGGATGATTGAGCTAATGATGGAGTAAAATCTGAAATTGGTGTAGGTGTTGGTGGATTTGATGATGTTATTGTTGATGATAGTTGGTGAATAGTGAGAGTGTGGGGAGATGGTAACTGTTGTTGGAGTGTTATAAAATTATCTAATTCTTCAGAAATTTGAATATTATCAAGGGAACTGTTGATTGATCGTTCATAATTAATTGGGGAGTAGGTTGGGGTTACTTGAGAAGGAGTGTATGGAGATGTACATTGGTTTTGAGGTTGAATAGGTCGAAAGGGGGGTTTTGAGAAGGTTGAAGAGTTGGTCTGGTTATGGGTAGAAGGGGATGGTTCGGAATCTGCAAATTCATCGGGAGTTTCTACATCGGAGTTATTGAATTGTGATATTGTCTGAAAAACTGTGATATCTGAGTTAGCATCAGAATTCATGCCTGGTGAATCAGGTGGCGGAAAAGCAAAAAGTGGAATATTTTGAATTGAATTTTGGAGGTTGGCAGGGTGGAAGTTTGATCGATGGAGTGATCCAATTTGTCTGCTCATCGTGGGCTGAAAAAATGATTATTTTGAGATTGAAAAGTGGTGGTATGGGGCTGTTCAATGATTTGTTCATATGTATCGTCATTTTGGGGGTGTTGTGTCACTATATGTTGAATTGGGCTTTGTATGTGGCTTGGTCTGAAATTTGGAGGGTTTGTGATTGCTAAGTTCCTAAAATTTCGCGAACCTAATGATAATGGATGGTTATTATGTAGATTTGGTAAATGTGGTGCTGTAGGTAATGCATTTGTATTAATGTTTGATTCGTCGTATGTGTTCGGGTTTGTTGATAGTTTTGTATTGTACTCTTTGATTTGTGCATCTAAGAGGATTTTATTTATTGATGATGAAAATATTCCAAAAAATCCTGCAAATAATATGCGTGCTACGCTTGCTTGTCGGTTTACTTGTATATGTATTGCGCATGTGTTATAGATTCCTTTTAGTAATGAGAAAAGAAATCCACGAAAGTTAAACATAGCTTATAAGATAGTCAATCTTTCTAAGATGTAATATGGCCATCCTAGATAAGCAAGGATTTCGTTTTATAAGGTTACGAAGCTAAAAACAATTATTGGTGAGATATCTTGTGGTCTATAATTTTCGCCGTTTAAGTATATGTAGTCTTTAATATCTATAAAATATCTGCTGTAGTCTTGTGTATAGATGTCTGAAAATCCTGCGGTTTCTGCAAGTTTTCTTAAATTTCGGTCTATTGATTGTCGTTGTATGGTGTCCATTTGTGTTGGTAGTTCCTGAAATTGTTGTGTAGGAATGTGATTTTGTATATCTGATTTAGAATATTTTTCGATCGATTGTAGATCGATGTTGGGATTACGAGCAAAAGCTCGAATACTTTCGGGTGAACATTTTTTTAATGGTTGCATTAATGTTGGGTATGGTGTAAGTAGATAGTATTTTTCTTCGTCAGGATTCAATTGTACGACATTGTGGCTGTTTTTTGATCCACTTGGGACTGCGTTATCCCAAAAATATGTTCTTCGCGAAAGTGTATTGACAAAATGAACTTCATTTTTTATTGAATATCGGGATTCGTTTGTAACAACGTTTATCTTCAAAAACATATAATGGTGATACTTTTTTGGTGCAAGTATAAAACCATAATATATTTCCTTCATAGTCAAGGAAAATTGATCTATTTCCGGATAATAAATATCCTGCCTAGAGTATTTTTAGAACTGCTAGTGCGAGTGATTGTAAAATCTGGGATCTTTCTAATTCACATAGTTGATGTAGTGTTTCTAATTCGGAGAGTGACATTTCTTGAAAAATTCTACTAATTGTGTAGTCTAATTTCATGTTTAGGTGGTTGTCATAGTGTATTGCGCCAAAATACGTATTAATCGTTAGTGATAATTCTTGTAATCGTGTGCTTTCAGTGTCTTGTGATTTTACTTTTCCACTAGGGTTTCCTGCGTTTTTGAGAAGATTTATTGGGATGTATGATGTTCCTTCGTTTAGAGATTGATGTGTTGCATTGATTATATTTTAGTTTTCCAGAGGTCATATCGAAACCTTCGTCGTAATCGACGAGTATTTCGGAATATTATGTTTTGTGGAGTGGATTTTTGTATTTACATGCGAATTCTGTTTCATGATAGATTTGAAAACGTGTTAATTTATTTTCTATATTGTGAATGTTTCTGAATTTAATATTATGGTGTCTTATTTGACTTGGGTTGACTTTGTCAAATGGGATGGATTCAATGAAATATTTTTCTTTAAATTTAATCATTCGAGCGTGTATTTTTGCTACTTGAAATGTTGTACATGTGTCTTCGGGGAACCAAACAATTGTTGCTTGTGTTCGTGTTGTAGGGTCACAATAGCCTTGATCGTTTTTACAGGGTAATCTAATTCCTTGATAGATCATTGTGTTGTCTGTTAAATCTCGTGTAAATTATATTTTATTGAGTTGTATTTTCCAGTCAAAAAACATTATTTCTTGGTATCCTTTCTTTTTTGTATCTGCTTTGCAGTTGGAAGGATTACTTATTCCAATATGTGTTATCGTGAATATTTGTCGTGAATATCATAAGTTAGTCGTCCGTGTGCGTCGTTGTATGGATATCTTTCGTCTAGTTTAATATGTCTTTGATATCTTTCAAGTTCTGCTTGATGTTCAGAGTCGGTGAAGACTTGAAAGTTTACTATTTTTCTGTTTGAATTTTTATTTTTAGTCAAGTTTAATCTGAGTGGTTCAATTTACAATCTTCGGGACTTAGATGTAAAAGTCTTTCGATATCACTTTGGTAGAATGATTCGTGATCAAGTCGGTTTTTATTTCCATTTGAAACTTGTGAACAATGTACTTTCTTTTCGGAAAAAGTCGCTGTAAACTTAAAGCCTGTGAGTGTTGTTGCTCGAACTTTGAGTATAATGTTGCTATTATGTTTGTGGTTTCTATAGCTTGTGGTTCTGATTCGCATTGTGTTACTTGGTTTATAGCATATTTGTGTAGCGTTTTATGTTCATTTTCTTCACAATCGTAGTGTGTTACTAATAAATCCTGAGGTCCTGTACGAGGAGATGGACTTGTATTTTGTTCAGAAAAAATTAGAAAAAGGAAGTTGAAATGTAAGTACTTTTAAAATATACATGTGTATAATAATCCTGAGTATGGGTTATAAAAGTTAATATATCCAATTGTATTTTTGGTATGTCTGTCGTAATTATATTTAACTTCAGTTGTTATAAATGGGGAGGTAGTGATTGAGCTGTTATATTTGGGTGTTGAACAATATTATTAAGTCTGACTGTGATTTCAAACTTTAATTGGAGACTATTTTGTTGAAGTATTTGAATATTGTGTTCTTGTATATCTTTGTGAAGATCTTGTCTATATTGTAATCTATTTAGTGCCCAATTGTGGAGTCGGTTATTTTTTTGATGTTGTCCAAATAGTGGGGGAGATGCTACGAAATTATTCCACTATAACCGTAGAGGGGTATTTGTCGATGACTGTTCTTGGTATCTAGCGTCAAGGTTGGTGAGGAAATTAAGAGGGAAAAGTGTTGGTGATATTTGACTTATAGATGGTGTTGATGGGACTGAAAGTGTTTCTGGCAGGGATGATAATGTTATATCAGAAGAAATATAATGGGTTCATTTACTAAATTTCGTTCGCATTGAGTATATGAGTGTGTTGTCCAATATGGTGGTCTTTCGGTGGTGTCTGGGGGGTTAGAAGGATTTTCTCGGATTTGCTCTGATGTTGGAGTTGAACCTAGATAGTCTGATGGAATATTTGAAATGCTATGTGTTTGTGTTGGTGATTGGGTTAGATTAAAATGAACTCTGGGGGTTTGAAAATTTCTATTTCGTCTTGGATGTATAGTTTTTTTTTATTTCAAGTGTATTTTAATTTTGGCTAGTATGTCTTACTCGATTCAGATCTTGTTGTAAGGTAGGATATAAGTTATATGTTGGTTCGCTTAAAGATGGTTGGCGATTAACTGGTTCTTATGGTTCAGATAATCGTGCGTGTCGTTCTTCAAAAGTGTATGGATTGTCTTGAAAAGAAATTCGTGTTGATGGTTGGGGGTTATTGGTAGTTGTAGGTGTTATTGGACTGTCTTGGGATGTTGTTGGTGGGGACTGGTTTGGTGGTGGTTGATTAGCAATTTTGAAAAGGTATCTGAGTGTTTAATTCTATTGGGAAAAGAAGTCACAGTTGTTTTCATATGTTTTCGGCGAGATCATTCAGCTAGTCTTGTATCAATTAATCGCACAGACTATGAAAAAATAATTAATTAAAATATAAACTCCAAAATGAACACTTTCCCGTTTGATAATATACAAATGTACTAGAATATTCGCACAACTGAAAATAGTGATGCAATTTAACTATTGTAACTAAAACTGTACATCTATATCAAAATTAAGTAATTACTTTTTGGATGGTACACACAATTCATACAGACGATGAGCCTGGTCAAAAATTTAGTAATCTGCAATTCATAAGGATTATTTCTGATCAAGAATAAATTTTCAACACTGAAGCGGTTTTTCAAACTAGACGGTATATGAAATTTACTCAAAACTATTCACCAACTGTTCACCTAATATTTTGGAAAAAACTAATCAAATATAACAAAAATTAATCATGGAATAGTCTTTTACTGGTTAGATAAAAAATTAACAATAAAATGAAATTTCAAACACACCATGGTTTTTCTGCACAATAATTGCCAGAAATAGAATTTCATAAAAAATATGGATTTTTTTTCTGATTTTGTCTTTAATAACTCGAATTAAGGTAATAACTGTATTAATGATTCATGCAAAAAAAACAACACATTGTTTTTTCATTTTTGTACAATCCCATAAAATTGCTATCAAATGTCACATATTTATTTTGTGGGGCACGGAACATTCGTGTTAGATAAAATTAGCAGTTAGAAGACATCATTAGTTTTTGCTGATTCATCACATTCGACGTTTTCGTATACAAGCTTGCGTTTGTTGCGGTTCCCGCATTATCCAATCCCATTCGTATCGGCTGTTCTCTTTTTCGGCCAATTGAACCCAGAATAGGAATACTCGACCAATAGGGCAGCAGATACAGTCGGCAAAATGCATGTCCCTCGTTCATGAAACGCTTGTTCAACTTAGCATACACCAATGGCATTGCGAGAAAATTGAAGTTGTAGAAGAGGTTGCAATATTTCATCGCAATCTAAACATAAAAACCCTTTTTTCCTAAATAAAAATCAAAAGTAATTCACACACGCGAGAGATTTCTTTGAAGAAAAAGAGCTATTCTATTTTTCTTCATACACCTGATAAAAACAGCTGTAATTTTTGAATTAATATTAAAACGAGTGTTTTTTTTCCAGTTGTTTTACTCACATAATCCATTATGACAACAAAATAGTGAGAAATGGATAGTTTTTGGGATCATTTTTGTATGTAACATAAAGCGCCTTCGTCGCTACTGAATTTTTTCTTAAAAAATCTGAACTTTCATTGGCAACCTAACTGACGAAACCAAGTTGTCGCTACGATGCATTACAGTTCTAGTGACGGGTCTAGGACAACAAGCCGACGGGACTTCAAGCCGAAGGGACTTCAGGCCGAAATTTAAACTTTACAAGCACCTCAAATCACTATTTTTTTTTAAATCTGTAAAACGTTGCTTTTCAAAAATTTAGGCATGTTTAGTCCATAATAAGCGTTATTCATGACAATGCACCACTTCTGATTGATATCCGTTAATAACATCAGCCGGTTTTTGAAATGCATAAATTATAAACATGAAAAATGCCTTCAACCATGTTTCACTTTTAATCTTTCCGAAACATCATTTGGAGGCTTACATTTTTTGAAAACGCCAATAACTAGTAAAGAAAGATCATGAAATTCAGAAATTCTTCAAAAAAGTTTTCAAATTAATCATATTTCACGACTTTATAAGCAACTATTCGGCTTGAAGTCCCTAATTTTACGATTCGGCTTGAAGTCCCGTCGGCTTGATGTCCGGCACCCCTAGTGACAGTTATGTTTTTACTTTGGTTATGCGATGCCATATAGTACCACGTGAAAGAATATAATTAAGTTCAAAAAATAATTGATTAATTTGGGTGGTCAAACTTAGCCGTATTTCTCATGCCTAAACTTACTTACGTTGGTCAATTTTCGTTGAAACAAAATTATTTTAGGTTAAGAGTCCAAATAAATTTAGGCTTGTCGAACTTAGTCAAAACATAGGGTTGCTTGGTCGCGCTAGTCGAAACATAAATTCATCACCTTGACCCAGGTACGCTTCGTTACGCATACATTCCTGAAAAGTGATATTGCGTTCGGAAATATGGGAACTCGTTTTGCCAGGCGGAACAACTCAGCAAAACTGATGTTGAATCAGAATTCACAAATACAAAAGAATCCCACTTATGAAAATTGTGTGATAAACAATTTGCCGTAAAAAAATCAAAAAGTGAGGAAAATTTTTTTTTTTAATTGACAATTTAGTCGCTAAACAGAAAAAGTTAATGACAGAAAGAGAAAACAAATATTTTTTTTTTGCATGCAAAATTGCAACTTTTTGCTTATTTCGCAGCCCCAGCCCAGTTTTTCTACGTAAAAACAAAATCATGGGCCGCATTGAGGGTATTGAAGATTCTTGGTGAAGGCAGAATTAGTACAGATAACAAAAATTTGTCCAAAAAACAGGCCACGATTTTCAATCTGTGAAATTTTAGAAGCAGAGACTTCGTAGCCATACAAAACAATTAATTTTTTTTTTATAATTTTAAAAATACTTCAACTCATATCTGGTTTGGTATATAGCAATTATTAGCTTCATCGGCAATTTCAAGGCGAACTAACTGTACAAAAAGTTTAAAAGTGGTATGGCGTTTGGATTTCTCAAAAATTTTTTTCGCTCGCATTAAATGCGCCAATATCAATTTGCAACCAGATTAGAAATTACAAAATTCTTTTGAATAATATAACATTCGAGTTTGGTGAACAACCTCTCTAAAATGACTCAAGCTGATGTCAACTGAGTTAACCACAAAACCATATTTTAGTTTTCAAATTTAACTAAAATCAGGGTAAATTGAGGTTTGCTTGAAGTTTTGATGTTAACCCGATCCCGTAATAGTCGGACCCAACATCAGTTTTTTAAAACAAATCATAATTTTTGGATTATTAGGGTAATTTTGAGCAATTTCTATATCTTCAGTTTTTGATACAATTTAAACCATTTATTCATTTTATACGCGTTATTTAAAATAAAATGATCATGTCTACACCCAATAAATTTTTTTACAACTTGAAATTAAGGTTGCATTGTTATAAAAAGACCCGTATAATCTTGCTTCTGGTCTACAGTGATCAAGGTTTCTGGAATACTTTTCAATTTTTTTTTCAAAATATTGTCCCCTTCTCTTCTTCCAAAAAATTCCTGTGTATAACCTAGCAAAATTGGAGATATATTACTAAAACTTCAATTTTTGAAAGTAGTTTTTAATTTTGCTTAATTGTTTCGTTCTAGGTAGAAATTCGTAATAAGAATTTCATTGAGAAAAAAAAACTGTCTTTTATTTTTCAATGAGGTTGTGTTTAAAAAAAATCTGGTTGTTCGGTTGCAAATCTGCTTTCAATGATAGTCTAGATACGAGCTGCCATTTGATCTTTAGCTTCAATTTTATGGCAGCTTGACTGACTTTGGCTTTGAAATTAGTACCTAGTTGTTGTGATTTGTTTTTAGTTTGTTATAATGACCTTCGGTATTTTAATTAATACCAGTTTAGTTACGACCATCGGTCGATATGAACGGAAGTTCAGTTGTCCTTTTTAACGTCTTAATTCAACTACTTCCTTTTATCGTTTTAACAATTAAGCTTATGTACATACCTTGTACATAGACACTTAGAATTAGAATAGTTTATTATGGCGCAGTCAAATGATTCGAACGTGCGTGGAATTCCCCCCTTTTGGCCTAATCACACCCTAGAGCCACCGCATGCCTGGACCCAGTGGAGCGACCAATTCCAATTGGCGATCATTGCGAAAGAAAACCTGGATTCAGCATTTAACCTATTATGCTGAATATTAAATTCTGGTTGTTTTGTGCAATTTTTCTAATTTCCAAGGCTCAGATGGAAACTAAAGAAAAAACTATTGTTTACTGGGGCTATCTAAGCTGCCAGCAAAAGATATTATCAACGAAATGTGGGATAAATGAGCGGAGAGCTACCACACTGACTCATCTTTTCCTTTTCGCGTTGTTACTGACCCAAAGTGGGGATGTTGAAAAAAACCCTGGTCCTATCGAAACCATTGAAACAGTCTACGGTATCTGCTCAAAAAATTGTGCAAATCTTAAATTTGTTCATTTGAATTTTCAAAGTATTATTAGAAAACGGATGCAATTGAAAAAATTTCTTGATGATATGGGCGAAAACACAATTATAGGAATTTCCGAAACGTGGCTTAAAAAAGAAGATAGTGACAATTTATGGAATTTCCAACCTAGAACGCATGCGATGTTCAGATATGATAGGCAATCAGCGGTAAAAAAGAAAGGCGGTGGCGTTTTGTTATATATACCAGTCAAATTGGCTCCGAAATTGAGGCCTGATCTAAATTTATTTGATAAAGAAAAATATGAGTCAGTGTGGGTTGAGTGCAAATCTACATTTAACATTTCGAGTAAAGAAAAAATGTTAGTTAATTTGTGTTATAACCCAAGCAGATCAAACTTTATTGATTTTTTGGAACAATTAACGCTTAACATAGATAATGCTTTTTCAGTTTCTAATAAAATTACGCTTTTGGGTGATTATAACATAAATTATCTGGATAGCAAAGAAAAAGAAAATTTAGATTCTATAATTATTCCATATGGATTGAAGGTTTTTTGTCCAAACGATGAGACCAGAATTAGTTCCTCAACAAAAACTCATATCGACTACATAATCAGTGACTATGAAACAAACGGCATTGAGTTTTGTTTTGATACACCTTATAAAACCGACCATTTTGCTTCATTTATTTTGACGGATATAAAATGCGGCAAAATTTTACCGAGGATAATTACGACTTTCAATAAGAAAAATTATCAGAAAAATGAATTTTGCAATTCACTCTCCGCTCTTCCTTGGTATCTCTTATATCAATGTACAGACGCACAAAACATGTTCTCGACGATGATTTATTTAATTTCTTGTGCTCTACAGCAACATGCTCCTATCGAAAAAAAGTTTGTTCGTAATTTTAAACCAAAAAACGTGTTGAAAACGGAATGGTTCGATTCAGAATGTCAGCAATTGTTGACTAAGAAACAGAATTCACTCAGATCATATCGCAGTCAAAGCACAAGCGATAATTGGTCAAAGTACCAGTTTTTACGTAATCAAATGAGCAAATTGATTAGAAGTAAACAATTCGATCATTCAAAAAATTGTTTTTCACTTCTCAGCACTATCCAACAAAAATGGAAATATATTAACCAAGTTAGAGGTACATGTTCTGGCAACCATCGAATTACAGTTCTACGAAATTCCTTCAGTGAAATGATAACCCAAGACAAAAAAATTGCCAATCATTTAAATTATATTTTTTCAAACTTAGGCGAATTTTTCGGCGCTAAAAAGCCTCCGAATTACAACAAATCTGCCTCTGAATCTGCATCTTTTCATTTTCAACACATTACAGTGAAGCAATGCTTTGATATAGTTCGAAAAATCAATGTTGGAAAACCTCTCGGACCTTGTACCGTACCTGCTTGGGCAATCATTGACGGTCAATCAGTTATAGTTCCACATTTAACTTTTGTCATAAATACTTGCTTAGATGAGAACATTTTCCCGATCGAACTGAAAAAAGCAAACGTAACCCCTTTGTTCAAAAAAGATGACCCAATGGATGCAAAAAATTATCGGCCAATATCAATAACTTGTGCTTTTTCTAAAATTTTTGAAAAAATTTTACATGCCCAAATAACAGAACATCTTGACAAATTTCAAATAATGACACCATTTCAATTCGGATTTCGCAAAAACATTTCAACACAAGATGCTCTTGTTTATGTGACAGAAAGTATTCGAAATCAAATAGATTCAAAAAAAATCGTACATGCAGCTTTATTAGATCTGTCCAAGGCTTTTGATTCTATTTCGCATGAAGTTTTAATTGAAAAAATGCTTTCTCTCGGTTTTTCAAATGGAGCAA